CTGAGACCACATTTTTCTCTGAGTTATTGCTGTTGCTCTGCGGATATAGAAGTGGAAGGGGCCACATTCCCTTGGTGTCTGCACATGGTCCTTAGGTAGAATTAATATCCTAAGTCTTCCTAGTCTGGAGGAGAGAGGTATTTTCAAGAACTTGTCAAGCTTGGGAAGCCTTAATGAATAACCAGCTTAAGTTTATGTTTTTGATATAGAGTCTGAAGTGGTATTATTTTTTTAGATTTATTTATTTTTTATGCACTGGGTACAGTCCGAAGCACGGGAGGGTGAGAGAATTCACCAGAGCCAGAGCGGGGAGCAGAACAGGCAGACTGACGAAATACACTGCTGAGGGGAGCAGCGGGCGGCAGGAGAGGTCTGCGCACCATGTGGGACCCTCGCCCGGTTGGCCGGGGATCGAACCGGTGCTGTAGAGACTGCAGGCAGCTTCGCAACCCAGCACTCAAACACTGTGCCACCAGGGAGGCCCTGAAGTAGTATTTTGACAATGCTTTTTTTCTTAGAACTTTGCTATATGTTCCAGGCTTTGCATAGGTAGTAGCCATATTTTCACTAAACATTAATGATATCACTTCCAATCTACTGGCCTGCAACTATTCTTATGGTAGCAGTTGTGGCATTGCTCTGTAGGAAAGAAACTGTTACAACATTAAATATAGCAAAACAGAAAGTAGGCCTATCTGTGACAAACAGGATGTATTCTATGGTTTTGTTTGGCAAAGAAGATGGCCCATTTCAAAACAAATTATGATTTGTTAAAGATCTTGGGCTAGGGTGGAAAGAAAAAATTGAGTATTTGAGTAAAAAAATAAAACCAGCGGCACGCAGACCTCTCCTGCCGCCCGCTGCTCCCCTCAGCAGTGTACTTCGGTCCTTCTGCCTGCTCTGCTCCCCGCTCTGGCTCTGGTGAATTCTCTCACCCTCCCGCGCTTCTGACTCTACCCAGTGCTTGTATAAAAAAAAATAAAATAAATAAATAAATAAATAAATAAATAAACATGCCTCTATAAAATTAAAAAAAAAAATAAAACCAGCAATGATAATTAAAGTTGGAGAGCAATAGAAGGGAAAATTACTTATGGGACAGTAGTGTATATTAGGTCAAAATAAGAGCAGAACAAAAAAGGGACTGAGTGGTCAGTAGAGAAGAGACTCCCTTGGGAAGTCTCCTTGAAGGCAAAGGGACTCTAGTCAACATTTAAGAATGAAAGTGGGCCTCCCTGGTGGTGCAAGGGGTTAAGCACCACACTATGAAGCAATCCACAGCCTCTGCAGCAAGAGTTAAATCCCTGGCCGGCCAGGGAGCAATCCACATGGTGCAGCAGACCTCTCCTGACTTGTCCGCTGCTCTCCTCAGCAGTATATTTCAGTAGATCTGCCTGTTCTGCTCCCTACTCTGTCTCTGGTGAATCTGCTCACCCGCCACATCTCTGGCCTGTACCTCAGCTCTTTTATGCATAAACAAATAAATCTTTAAAAAAATTAAAAAAAAATGTGTGGACTGAAGAGCAGAGCAAGGGCTGTTACACCTTAAGCAACAGGTGAGAAGCTGTTTTGCAGCAGAGTGTGCATAGTCATCTGACTGGAACAAGGGATCTTTTTAAAATATATATATATATGTATAATGTATATTGTTTTTTTTATATCATTGCTCATTTTTGTACAATATATGCTTTCTCTTCTCAGGTATAGTCCCCGTAAAATTCCCATCACCGATTCACCTGTGCACCATCACCATAGTCCTTTGTGCTCTTCCTTCCCATGTTTGATCCCTCTGCCTTCCTCTCTCTTGCAGAATATCTCTGATTTATAGTTGTCTCTTGATCTTTTAATTATAATTCTTTTTCCTGATCCCCTATTTGGTTCCCCTATATTCCTCCTATAAATGAAACCATTAGATCTTTTTCTTTTTCTTTCTGGCTTAGCTCACTGAGCATAATTCCTTCCAGCTCCATCCAAGTTGTGGCAAATGGCATGAGTTTGTCTTTTTTGATTGCTGAATAATATTCCATTGTGTATATGTCCCACATCTTCTTGATCCAGTCATCTATTTTTTGGCATTTGGGTTGTTTCCATATCTTGCCTATTATAAATAGTTCTGCAGTAAACATAGGGGTGTAGATATCCTTTTGAATTAATTAATCTACCCAAAGGTTTTGTGTCCTTTGGGTAGATTCCTATGAGTGAAATGGCTGGGTCATATGATAGCTCCATTTTTAGTAGTTTGAGGAACCTCCACACAGCTTTCCATAGTGGTTGGACCAGTTTGTATTCCCACTGGCAGTGTAGGAGAGTTCCTTTTTTGGAGCAGAGGACTTTTTAAGGGACTTGGGGATAAAGTTTTATTTCTTTTTTGAGTTTACCCAAGATTCACTCTTTGTGTTATACATACTATGGGTTTTAACAATTGTATAAAGACATGTTTCCATCGTGTTAATAGCATCCAGAGTAGTTTTACACCCCAAACCTAAAAATCCCTTGTCCCCAAACCAGAGACACTTTATGAGGGGAGGGGAGTGAGGGGTGGGATTGGGGTCAAAATAAAGGGGTTGCAATTGTTTGGGGAATATAAAAATAAAAAAATTAAAATTAAAAAAAATGATGAAAGAATGAAAAGACAATTTCTAGGGTATGTCAGCATAAGCAAGAGTAAACAGACTTCTAAACTGTGTACCTCTACGCAGTGTCCATTAACCCTTGGAGAACTGGGGTTCCTCAAACGTTTATAAATGGTGTTTAATCCTCTACTGTCATCTGAATGTATGTGTATGTATAATTCAATAATACTTATATGAATATTTTTAAATGTATACAAATGTTTGAGATTGATAAAATAATAAATTCCTTTAAAGCAAAAAAAAAAAAAGAAATGAGTTTTTATCTAATTTTCACAAGGAACTTTTCAGAAGATTGAGATAAATACTTCACAAGCTTTATTCAACAATATAAACAATAATGAAATGATTAGGTAACATGGACTGTGAAGAAAGGATTAATTTAAATTATGCTGCTAATTGACTTTAGTATGACTTTATACTCATAGTCTTATTTTCTTGTTAGAAAGGTAATTTAAAATACAAATAAAAAGACAATTTTTCTTACTATAACATATTGTCTGTTAAGTTAGAAAATTTAGATTTAAGTGAAAAGCACTTATAACCCCACCATTCACAGGTGGACTGACATATAAACATGCAATCTTTTCCATTTTCTTTGTCTGCATTATTTTATTTTAAAAAATGGTATATTGTTTTGTGGCTTACATTTTTCAAAAAATATTTCATGAACAAGGCTTTGTTGTAATTCAGTGTTGTGGTACCATGCACTTTTAATGACCACATAATATTCCATTGCATGGGCTATATATTTATCATAATTTCAATTATTATTATATGAAGTATGAGAGTATCCCTGTTTTATTACCACTTAGTAAGTGCAAAACTGAGAATTAGATAGGTTGGGTGGTGTCATTTAATGGAAAGAACCCTGGACAAGTTCAGGAGTCTTCCTTTGTTTTAATTCAACCTCTGGGTCTATTCAGTTATCTAACATTGAATGTTATTATTTAATCTCTCTGGATATCAGTTTATTTGCCTTTAAAATCTAGCAGTTGCTTTAATATTCTGTAACTGTGAATTACAAAGCTGTTGAAGGAAATCAACAAGGGAGGTAAGATTCTAGTTTCTTTCTAAAATTCTTGAAGTCTTTGACAGCAGTCTTTAACAATGACTCTCTAGTCTCAGGAACACAGATTTGAATTAATTACAATCTTTGGTTCATAACAGACTCATATCATTTGCCCATGCTTCCTTTTTTTGATGTTAATACTATTTATTAAATCTGTGAATCTCACATCACCATAGTAGACTTTCAGAATGTCAATCAATCAAAATGTAAGTTGAATCAAAATTTAAATTCAATGAATCAAAATCTAAATAGTGAATATTTTATTGACCATTATATCTCTGATATATACTGTAATCTCTGGTGCATACCAGTTGCTCAGTTAATATATGTTTGCATGATTTAATGACCTTAACATGGGGACCTGTTGCCTGCATGAACATTCACTGTTAGAGGAGACTTTATCTTCAAAGCTTGGTAAACTTTGGGTGTGAGCAAAATAAAATAAAATTGAATTAAAGTTAAAATAAAGTTAGGTCACTGAAGTTGGTGATGACTGTGAAGGGAAGATAAAGCAGATATATTTACTAAGAAAAGCTAGGCGGCAGTAAAAGTGGAGTAGACATTTTATTAAAGAAATAAAAGTTAAAGAAAGCAAAAATGAACAAAACCTTATTGTTTCACATTGTGATGAAAGTGCAATGTTTGAAACATAGCATGAGCAAGAGATATGTACTTTTTAGTCCCTACATAGCACTGTGATCTTGGAAGGAAGTGGTAAGTTATTGGTACTTTTCACATGAAGATATGAAACTCAGAAAAGTTAAGTGTCTTCTTCAGGTCACACACCTAGTAAGTGGCACCTCTAGGATTCAGACACTGTCTTTCTAACCATGAAGGTATGAGCCAAAAATTTTAATGCATAGTGATGAATTGTTTGCAAATGATATTATGGGTCTTCAGAAAGTCTGAGAAAAGATCACTTTTGAAATACTTCATTATTCAAACTGTTTCCCAATCAAGGAAGAAGATTTGGATTTTAGGGAAACCCTAAATATGTATAGACTGTATATGCTTTCTTGTTCTTTTGTCTCAGACTTTATGGCCACAGAGTATCTTGGCTCATTTTGTAATGCATATATATATATATATATATATATATATATATATATATATATATATGTATATCAGAAAATGAACCCCATAGTATTAAACTTTCTATAAAACTTTTTTTTTCTCAGCTTTGACTTGTTATTTCCAGTTTAGTCCCCTGGTGGGGTTTTCTAGTTACAGTGGATCATCTCACTGACATGAATAGGTTATTTGCCCATCTACATGGTGCCATCTTTATGCTCTTACAGAATTATTGTAGAGGACACAGTGGATTGGCGACCCCAGGACCAGATCCTTCTTAGCTCGTCTTCTTATGAGCCTCATGAAGCAGAGGTCCTCACTGTGAAAGAAATCAAAGGCCAACACATTCAGATTCATGAACAGCTCAAACACCGGCACATCGGTAAGACTGGTTTGTTGATAAGGGGAGTGACTGAAGCGGGAAGAACATGTCAGCAACCTGTCTAGGAATCTGCAACTGGTCACCATTCAAAGGAGATGATAATCCTTATTGCTGTCCTAATCTAAACTCTTCCTAGAATACTTTATTCTTTTTTTTAAAGAATCATTTATTTATGTATACAAGAACTGGGGTACAGGCCAGAAGTGTGAGGGGGAGGGGTGAAAGGATTTACCAGAGACAGAGTGGGGAGCAGAACAGGCAGATCTACTGAAATACAGCAGGTGAGTCAGAAGAGGTCTGCTGCACCATGTGGGTCACCTCCCTGGCCAGGGATCGAACTCTTGTTGCAGTGGCTGCGAATTGTTTCATAGTGCTGACACTTAACCCCTTGTGCCACCAGGGAGGCCCCTAGTATACTTTATTCTTTATTAATTTTATTGGCTAATTAAAAAAAAATACTTAGATGTGAAGGATTATTTTTCTTTTTTTTTATAAGTCAAGTCTAGAGGCAAGAAGAAGGGTTAAGAATCTTGTTCAAGGTCACTGGGCATTTTTATGGCTAAGCCAGAATAAACCTCATGGGAGCTGAGTTTCAAGTTCATTTCCTGGTACTTTGAATCACACAATCAATTAGAATGTGGTAGCTACTGTAAAATAATCACTTCTTTTTCCATATATATGAATGTGTTCACCCTGAAATGAAGTTTATTTTATGTATTGGCTACAACTATGGCCGAGAGAGAGAGAGAGAGAGAAGAGAGGAGAGAGAGAGAATCAAATACCCTTTTGTCAATAAAAGTTCTAAATATTTGTAAACATTATACACAGTTATTATTTATCACACATAAATAATAACCTTAAGTTTCCTGGTTCATTTTAGTAAGTACAACTAACCAGAAAATATAGCTAATAATAAATACATAGTAATAAATACTGTAATAAAACATTGAAATAGTGGGGTTGAGGATTATCTTTTTGTCTCTGATATGTGAGAGGGAAATACATAGGACTATATATAAAGCTATTTCTAAATGATAGGTCCAAGGATGATTTCTTTTCTAAAGAGTGACTGGAGAAAGAGAAATCTTCAGCAATCCTTGCCAGTAAGATGCAAGGTGAGGGCCTCCCTGGTGGCACAAGGGGTTAAGTCTCAGCACTATCAAGCTCCTGCCAGCCACTGCAGCACGAATTCCATCCCTGGCCAGGGAGCTGACCCACATGGCACAGGATACCTCTCCTGTCTCGCCCTCTACTCCCCTCAGCAGTGTATTTCAGTAGATCTGCCTGTTCTGCTCCCCACTCTGTCTTTAGTGAATCCTCTTACCACCCAGCACCTCTGGCTTACATCCTAGCTCTTGATGCATAAATAAATAAAATAAATTTTTTAAAAAAGATGCAAGTGAAATGCAAGTGCAAGGTCATGAAACAAACCAGGAAGTCACTTCAGTTTGCACTGCTGGGGATACTCCTTCACACAGTGGTGAGCTTAACCCTCTGTGAGATGCTGCTGCTGCTGTTACTCTTGTCCCTTTACTCTTACACATTGCTGCGTTAGTTCTGCCACTGCCTCAGTTGATCTGGGATTTCTCATCCTCATGAAAAAGATCCATGGACAATGTACAATCAAGTGCTGAAGTCTCACGCTGATGAATTTAAGGAAGGAGGTCAGGGACAGCCTACCCTGATGTCCCTGCACCAGCAGCCCGGCCCAGTCCCTGCAGTTATTGAGAATAAATGAAACCTTGCTCAAACACTCTCATTCTGATCCCAAAGAGAGACGTGTGGACAGGCTTTTCATTTCTCAGTTGACATTTGTAGAGAATGCCTGAGGAAAAGCAGACCTTAATGTGGGGAGGACTTCTGAGGGGAAAGGAGTGTTTTCATTTGTCAGGTTCTCTGGGTCCCCAGCTGGCGATATCTGAAATAGGTTTTTAAAGTTTTTTTTTCCCCAACTCCTGTTGCCCCAGGAAGCTTCCATGTCATGGAGGATGGCCGATACATTCATTTGGCTGCTGAGGTTGGACTTTTGACCCGAAATATACAAATCCAGTCTGACATATCATGTAGGGGGAGACTACTTGTGGGGTCCTTCAGGAAATCCAGCAATGAAGAATTTTCAGGTAAATGAAATTTTAAGTTACTCAGCAGTACCAATTGGAACTTGTTCATCTGAGACTCTTAGAAATTTCAACTGTGAGAATTTTCATTTATAAAACAAAATGCTCAAGTTAGATAACTCCTTTGTGCTCCAAGGAGCTATGAATTTTCAGTCCTAATCTGTGCTTAATTATCAGTGTGATGTTAAAATAATATACTAGTGATCAGCACATATGCACATTTTTACCTCAAAGAAAACATCTTCAGCAGATGTGAAATTTCCTCCACTTTGAAATTATAGATGATTTAATGACCACTTGAATTTTATCTCTTTCCTGAATTTCTATTACTCTTTCCCAGTAGCATGCTATATCTGATGGCAGGCCTCAGCTCATGCTATAAATTAATAGCACAAATTTAAATAAAAATGATTTCCATATTCTAGTTTGCTTTAAGTATCAGTTCAATCTCTTGCATATCTTTCAAGCTTTAGCTCTTTTGGAATGCTGCAAAATGATTTGATTAGTAACCTTACTTCTTAAACTTGTGTTCCTTAAATATTATTACAAAGTTGTTTCCTGGTCAAATAAACTCGGTAAAGGTTGTCTCTGTAACTCCATGTTAGAAAATCACTGAACATAAACTCAGACATAATAAAAGCTCTCAAAGCTCTGGAATAAAGGATCTAACTACTTTCCAAGTACATTGAACAAGGAACACATTTTGTTGGCAAATCTGTTTCAACAGTACAGTGTTTCGATCTTAAATAAAATGGCCAGGATTTCTATACTATAGGCTCTGTCCACATAAGTTGTAGGTCCATCAGTTCTCAACACAGGTGATTTTCTTCCCCAAAGGCCCCTTCAAATATTTGGCATCTTTCTTTGCTCCACCTAGGGAGAGTTTGCAGTAACTAGTAGGTAGAAGCTAAACATCTTACCATGCATTGGACAACCATCCACAAAAAGAATTATTTGGACCAGAATGTCAATAGTGATAATATTGAGAAGCCCTGTTCTTTGAAGACTGAGTTGTGGTCTTACAGAAATGAAACTATCCTGCAGTATTTAAGATAGAGAAGCAAGCAAGGAAAGCAAGACAGGATTCCTTTTGACTGAAATTTCCAGCCTGGTTGGAACATGGTTACAGGAACTGTTCAGAAAGTAATTTTTTTTTCCTTTTAAAAGATTTATTTATTTTTATACAAGAGCTGGGGTACAGGACAGAGGTACGGGAGGGTGAGAGGATTCACCAGAGACAGAGCAGGGAGCAGAACAGGCAGACGACTGAAATACACTGCTGAGAGGAGCAGCGGGCGAGACAGGAGAGGTCTGCTGCGCCATGTGGGATTCTCACAGGCCAGACGGGATCAAACCCTCACTGCAGAGGCTGCGGACAGCTTCACAGGGCTGTGCTCAACCTGCTGCATCCCCAGGGAGGCCCAGAAAGTCAATTCTTATAGTGAGCACCAAGCCAGAGAAAAATGACCAAGTCTGACTTGGTTCTGAACCTATGATATTGCTGATCCTGGGCTTCTTCCACTTTCCTTGGGAAAAGGGAAAGAAAACCTGTATTGAATATTTCTTGTGGACCAGAATGTATGCTGGTTTTTGGATCATTTTAGTTCACCTAATATTCCTGAGAGAGAGATATTTTATCTTCATTTTTATAGGTGAGGAAATGGAATCTAAAATAAAATTCCTTGGTTATCTGTAAAACTCCATTATAAGCTTATGAAATCTTTTAGTGTAAGGTTGGGTCTTTTATCTCTGTTTCCCAGTATGCTAACTACTATGCATTAGGTGTCCAATAAATATGAATGAATAAAATAAATGAGGGGTAAGAAAAGTCATCCAGAGAGGAAGTGGCAGTGATAACGTTCAAATTCAAGCCTGATTCTGAAGTTCTTATTAAATAAATTTTTAATTTTGTGATCATTTTAGACTTATAGAAAGTTGCAAAGACAGTGCAGAGAGTTTCCATACTTCTTTCACCCAGTTTTCCCTACTATTAGTATAAGACATAACTTGGCTACATTTGTCAAAACCAAAAAGTTAACATGGGTGCATTACTATTAATTAAACTCAAGATATTATTCAGATTTCACCAGTTTTCCACTATTGTCCTTTTTCTTTTTTTTTTAAGATTTATTTATTTATGCACAAAAGAACCAGGGTACAAGCCAGTGGTCTGTGGGGGTGAGGGGATTCACCAGAGACAGAATGGGGAACAGAACAGGCAGCCTGACCGAAATACACTGCTTAGAGGAGCAGCGGGCCAGTCAGGAGAGGTCTGCTGCATCATGTGGATTGTACCCTGTCCAGGGATCAAACTCGTGATGCAGTGGCTGCAGCTAGCTTCATAGGTTATGTCTTAACCCCTTGAGCTACCAGGGAGGCCCTCTTGTCCTTTTTCTATCTCTGAATCCAGTCTAGGTTCCCATGCTGTATGAAGAACCCTTGCAATTTTCTGAATTATACTCCTGAATCTGGAGGTAGAGAGAACTGTAGGCGGAGGTAAAGAGTGACAGCTCTAGGTGTGGAACAGTTATGCAGCAGAAAGACAAGTCAGGATTTATATTTTTAAACAGGAGGCTTCTATCATTTGCCCTTCTGACCAATAACATACAACAAGTTGTATTGAGAATTATGACTTAGGGCCTCCCTGGTGGCAAAGGGATTAAAGAAACAATGCTATCAATCTGTCACCAGCCATTACAACATGAATATGATCCCCAGGCAGGGAGATGACCCACATGGCGCCTCAGACCTCTCCTGTCTCACCCGCTATGCCCCGCAGCAGAGTATTTCAGTCTGCCTGTTCTGTTCCCCACTCTGTCTCTGATGAATCCTCTCACCCCCCACACCTCTGGCATGTACCCCAGTTCTTGTATGCATAAATAAAGAAGTCTTTAAAAAAATAGGGCCTCAGCTGGCGCAGTGGTTGAGTGCTGGGCTGCGAAGCTGCCTGCAGCCTCTACAGCGCTGGTTCAATCCCCTGCAGCCGGCGAGGGTCCCACATGGCACGCAGACCTCTCCTGCCATGCCTGCTGCTCCCCTCAGCAGAGTACTTTGTCAGTCTACCTGTTCTGCTCCCCGCTCTGGCTCTGGTGAATTCTCTCACCCTCCCGCGCTTCTGACACCACCCAATGCTTGTATAAATAAATAAATAAATCTTAAAAAAAAAAAATGGAGCCGCCTCTGCATCTACATGCCCAGGACCAAGTCATAGGATGTTCTTTAATCCTTCTCTGTCTCTGCTTCCTTACCCATAAAATGGGTATAATAGATAATAATTTTACCTATATTATAGGTTTTTGTGAAACTATGATATATGTATTATAAAAATTTATATAGCATATATATATTGCATATTGCATATGCTATATATATGATTTAGATCAGTGGCTGGTACAAAATGAATGCTCTATGATAACATGAAGTTAGGTGTTATAGTTATAAGTTTCTCATTTCCCCCCTATAGCAATGTTATTGTCTCTTCTACCCAAAGTACATACACTGACCTATTAGTTCTTGTTATATTTTTAATCAATGTAGCAGCTGTATTTTATATTATGCATTAATAATATCTACTCAAATTAGTACAAATAAAAGTCTCAGTAAGACTAAATAATTCACTAACCTCTCCTGATATAAAAAATGTAGAAATCTTATTGTGAAAATGAAATATAGTGTGGTTAGGATAATAATTCAGAAAAAATTATTACTGGCTCTTCACATGATTTTTAGAAAGTTATTGCTCCTATCATGTCTATTAATAATGAAGCACATGTTCATGTTTCTGGACATGAACTGAGTAGAAATAAATTTTGCACCTAAACACTTAGGAAATGCTTAAATACTTTATAGAGTCAACCATTATATTTCTTCCTGCAGTCTACCATTATATTTGTGGGAATGGCTATTGTCTAGCACATGGGTCGATGAGACAAAGAAGGAGACATGATTTTGAGTCCAGTGACCAGGACCCATTTTCCCTTCATTTTTACCTACTCTCTTGACTCAGACCTGCAGACAAATGCACAGAAACTCTAAGCCAGCAATACCCAACTTTGGAGCTCATTTCTTTGCCCTGTCTCTCCTTTCTTATCTCCTATCCTGTCTCCAGACTCTTTGAACTGCACACAAAACCTTTTCAGGCATTAATGTGATGTTTATAATGACTCATATTTTGTTATGGAGACACAATTGCATGAAATACCTTGCTCATGCTGAGAATAATCTCTTATATTTTAGTGATAAAAATCTTCATTTCTTGATGCCCATAAGTGAACCATTGAGTTGCCTTGTGGGGAAGAATAAAGTATCTGATAATATACATTCTGTTTGCAGGTATCCTACAACTTTTAAATGTGGAAATTCAAAACTTTGGATCACCGTTGTATTCATCCATTGAACTCACTAATGTGTCTGCAGAATCCTGGATAATATCTTCTACTCTGCACCAAAACTGTGGTGGTGGCATTCGTGTGGCTGGGAGTCACGGGATCATTTTCAATGACAACATAGTGTTTGGTACAGCTGGCCATGGCATTGATTTGGAGGGTCATGCCTATTCTCTCTCTAATAACCTTGTGGTGCTGATGACACAGCCAGCATGGTCTGCCATTTGGGTGGCAGGAATCAAAGTGAACCAGGCAAAGGACATTAACCTCCATGGCAATGTCGTGGCAGGATCAGAGAGACTTGGTTTTCACATCTGGGGTAACAGGTGTTCCTCTCCTAAAGCTCTTTGGTCTGACAATGTGGCCCATTCAAGCCTTCATGGCCTTCATCTCTACAAGGAAAGTGGACTTGACAACTGTACTAATGTCTCTGGCTTTTTGACTTTTAAGAACTTTGACTATGGTGCCATGCTGCATGTGGAGAACAGCTTGGAGATGGAGAACATCACTTTCGTAGACAACACTGTTGGTTTGTTGGCAGTAGTTTATGTGTCTTCTGTTCCACAGAGCTACGTTGAAAGTGTACAGATTGTGCTTAGGAATTCAGTCCTTGTGGGTACTTCCTCCACTTTTGACTGCATTCAGGACAAAGTTAAGCCTCGCTCTGCCAATTTGACATCAACAGATAGAGTACCATCCAATCCGAGAGGGGGTCGAGTTGGTATTCTGTGGCCTCTATTGACCTCAGAACCAAATCGAGGGCCTCAGGTGCCATTGCACAAAGTGAAGACTGGACTTTCAATTTCAGGCCTCATGAAACTTCAAGGTAGGTTGTTTGGGCTTAGTCAAGTGATGTAGCATCATGAATCTGTGCATAAATTCTTTAGTAGCACTTTAAAATTACATCAGCAAGACTGCAGTATATAGTCTATGTAGATTTATGGTCTAGATCTTGCTGTCCTATTGATAACTGCTGGGTATTGATAACCACAATGGCAGTTTATAATGATGGTGAATCAGTCCTTTAAAAGTCACTGCTTTGTGTGTTTTGAGGAGCTTTGTCATCAATTATTTCATCTGATTGGTTGACAAGTCTCTTAGGTAGTTGCTACTTTTCATATTATGCAAAGAAGAAAATTAGATGCAGAAATTGTGCCTCAACTCTTTTTTTTGGTAATTAGTGGGCAGCTAGTATTGAAAATCAAGTACAGTTAATCTTTTATCAGATTTCTTTAGGACTAGTATATTCTCCATTTATTTAGTTCTCTAGCAATTAGTTTGGCTTTCTAAAAAATAAATGGATTTTGATCAAGGCTTTGATGACTATTGCTTTAAGACTTTAATGTACTGAAATGCTCTTCTATTTTGTCTGTTTTGATATACAAATATGTGAAATCAAGATTTATGTAGACTGCTGTAACTACCCTGTATAGCTTAAACTAACTTCTAGGAATACATTATTATAAAATATTTAGTTATATAGCCTATATTTGTGGTAGGTAACTTACATGATCTAATGTTATATGTTTGTAAAAATTTCAGATGTCACTTTTTCTAGTTTTGAGAAGAGTTGCTATAGTGATGACCTGGATGTCTGCATTCTGCCTGATACAGAGAACACTGGAATCCCACATCCAATAATAGCAGAGAGGACCAGGATGCTAAAGATAAAAGATGCAAACAAGTTCTACTTTCCTCCATTACAACACAGGTACTGGTTTTAATATTTATAATAAGCAATATTTGTGAAATACTTGATAATTCTTCAAATCCCAAAATGAGTTTTGAAAAAAAGAATAAAATTATCAATGAGAATAAAATGAAGTCCTTTTAAAAAGTTACAGTAAATTGATTTAATAGTCTCAATTCTTTGTTCCTCCTATATGCATACATTTTGGTAAGTGACTTTTAGTCTCCTCTCACTAGAGAGGGTATTTCTTTCTCCTTTGAGTCTGGGCTTAGCCGTATGACTTAGTCTGGCTAACCCAAAGACCAGGATTTCTAGAATACAACTTTTATTGATATTATTTTATTGTTTTGTAGTATTCCTTTAGAATACTTTCAAAATTACTGGGTAAAATGGCTATAATTCTTGAATACGCCATGGAATATATGGAGTCACTACTCTTCATTGGGAATACTTAATGCAGAGACTATTAGGTAGAAAGAGACCGTATGTGCTCTCAGGCATCCCTGAACTGAACAAGTAGCTTTCACAGATAGAGTCACTCAGACCAAGTATATGGAACTATTGTTCTTATACACATGACCTGGGAGTATTGTTCAAGGATATAAAAACTAGGTAAAGAATTCCTAGTGCCATGAAAAGGAGTGGGGAAATTAGGAGCAGGGAGATAGGTTTCTTTTTCTTTTCTATAATACTGGGTAAACTCCTCTAGTTAAAAGAAAAGGATAAAGAAAAATCACCCTAATTAGAAAGCTTATGTGCTTTTCCCAATACCCATCTCTCTTTTAATTTTTTTATTAAATATTTTTATTGAAGTAATAATGGTTTATAAAATTACATAATTTTCAGGTGTAGAGCATTATAATTTGACATCTCTATATACTATATTTTAGCACTTAAACATTATTAGGTATGCAGTTTTTATTATCTGTCATTTTTCTTTTACTGTCCAATTTTCTTTATGTTCTTGTCTTTCTTTTGGGATAAAATAGTTATAAAGCTAAATGATATTAGCATCTGATTCTTTGTACTATTAATACCTGACATATGGTTGGCATGCAATAAATATTTAATATTATTACTAGTGGTACCTAAAAGTATTAGACCAAGGAAAAACAAATAAATTCTCCATAATTCAATGTTACAATTGCCTGTAACTCGTTTATATATTCTGCTTGATTCAAAATTTTGAAAATAAAGGAACTATATATATTTTTTTATCACCTTTGCATTCTCCAGCCTGTAAGGAGTAGGTTTGAATAAATATTTGTTGAATGAGAATATCTATTTTTACCCTTATTTTGTATAGAAAAAATACAATTCATATTTCTAATGGTAATTTTAAATTCTGCAAAGCCCCCATATTCCATAAAGAAATGATTACAGTCTGTTCAGTAGCTGTTAGAATTAGGTATATTTTTATTGTACTTTGCTTCTTAGAAAATTAACAATGTAGGGGGTCTCCTTGGTGGTACAGGCTGTTGAGCGCAGCACTGTGAAGCTGTCCGCAGTCTCTGCAGCACGGGTTTGATCTCGGCCGGCCAGCAGCAGAGATACCCACAAGGCACAACAGACCTCTTTTGTCTCGCCCACTGCTCCCCTCAGCATGTATTTCAGTCAGTCTGTCTGTTCTGTTCCTCACTCTGGTGAATCCTCTCACTCTTCTGCACATCTGGCCTGTACCCCAGTTCTTGTATGCATGAATAAATAAATCTTAAAAAAATCTATGTAAAAATAGTCCAGATAGCCAGAATATTTGATTAATAAGAATATCTTTTCTTCTGATCATGTCCCTGGGAAATAACATTTTCTACAGGGCCTTATTTCATTTAATATCTGTGCAATATACCATTATTAATAAAATGCCCTTTTTTTTTCACCTAACATCTACTCTACAAATATATTTTCTTCTTGCTTGCTTGCTTTCTGTCTTTACAGGAAAGGTTTAGGAACACTGGTCTGCCCTGAATCAAACTGTGAAAATCCAAGAAAATATCTCTTTAAGGATCTGGATGGGAGAGCCCTAGGCCTGCAGCCACCAGTTTCTGTATTTCCTAAAGCTGAGGCAGAATGGACTGGATCTTTCTTCAATACAGGTCAGTTATGTCTGAAATCTATGCTCCCAGGAGAGAGAGCATGCTTTTGAAGGAGCTGGTTTGGATATGTTGTCCAGTGGGAACAAAATGTCCTGGACAGGAACTGGGCTCCAGAGATGACCTCAGCTCACCTGTGTCACAGGAATGATGAGTGTTTATGCGTGCCATGCTAGCCTGTGGGTGTGCTTTCCTTGAGATTGCCCATGTTGCATCGATGGTGAGGATTCCCAACTCAGCTCTGTGCATAGATGAGGAATCCAATTCTCACTAGCGCCATCACTTGAACCAAAAGCAGCTCTCAGCTTGTCTGGAACCATCTTCTTTGACTTGGAGTTAACTTTCTCTTCCATCAAGACTTACACGTTCTTACTCTGGAGTGGGTAGTGGAGTAGATAGCATGTAGTTTGCCTTTCTTTTCTCTATCTCCTCAATGTTCCCAGAGGACTGTGATCAAAATTCCTTCTTATGCTTCTAATATATATTACTATATGGAGAGATCAATGTCCTTCTTCCACAAACAATGGAAGCCTGAGTATGAGTTCAGGTGGAATGTGCAGCAGATAAATATAAATAACTTCCTCTACTTTCTTCCTCTTTCATTGGTTGATTAGTTTCAGACTTCTTTTCTAACCTTTTTTTCCCTTTTTAAGTTCTGAATAGATGAATGTCCCAGGTCTTTTTCCTCAGATTTCTTTTTTTTCTTTCTAATCTTGCTTCCAAGTTAAGATTCTAACACCATTAAATGATGATTTCCAATTTATATCTCCACTGCGGACTTGAACCTAAGCTTTAATATACAACTGACTTCATGAGGAAATTAATTGCTGTCTCAGACTTAACATGGCCTGAATGGATTCTTGATCTCTTCTTCATTCACAAACTACTTCTTGACTAGTCTCATCTTTCATCAGGGTATTTAGGTAAATGATTTAGATCCTCTTTTCTTCCTTTTTCCAAACCCAAATTCTCTCACTACTAGCTATCATCATCTCTCAGTTGGGAAAGAAAATACCCTTCTAATTGATCTTCCATCTTTCACTCCTAAAGCCTGTAGTCTATTTTCTACATAATGGTAGAGTAATATTTATAACTTTCCAATGTGTAGTATTTATATTTATATTAATATTTATATTCCAATGACTTACCACTCCCCTAAGAATGAAACCCAAACCAGAAGTATATATATATATATATTGTACCTGACTCCTGTCTACCTCTCTCACTTCATTTCTTGTAAGCCCCTTTTATTTAATTATCATGATTTTATTTTTCCTTTAACACAATACGCTTATATCTATCTCAGAACATTTGCACAGCTGTTTCCTCTGCATGAAAAATCCTATTCTCACTTTTTTGCATAGTTGGCTCCTTCTGTTTAAATGATAATTTCCCAAAGAAGCCACCCCTCACTGCCCTATTGTAAACAATTATTTCTCATCATACTCCCTTCCTACTATGTCTACTTTATTTTTTTGGTCAGAGTTCCATTATTTGAAATGATATTATATAAGCATTTGTTTACTTGGTGATATATTGGTTGTCCTTTTAGAGTGCAAACTTGATGAGGACAGGGATTTGTCTTGTTCATTGCTGTATATTTGGGGGATGTTCAACAAATATTGGTTGACAAATTGAGGTAATGAATGAGTTGAGGATAACCAGTGAATTACTGACAATTCCATTTGCCTCAAACCATTTAAGAGCATACAGAAGGAATTGAGGCCTTCAGCTAATTGGTTAAGGAATTTATTCCTGATATGAAAACCTGGAAGCAATACATTTCTAAGGTATCTTTTTACTTATTTCTACCTATCTTCCATTTGAATGATCACTGCTATCAGGGATGTAAGCTAGGGCGGAGTGACCAGAGGCTATTGCCCAGGAGCTCCATTGTTCTCTCTAGGCTATGCATATTGTCTCTACTCTCATATCTGCTCCCTGTTTTCAGCAGATACTGGTTTCCCAGTATGTTCCTCTTACCAGGACTCTTGTCCTTGCTGAGAGGTCTCCTGCCTGGCTGTAGGTCTAACTGACCAGCAAGAACTCTGGGTACCAAGACAATAGCCCTGAGAACCAGGAGGGCCTGGAATTCCACACACTACTTTATAGAATTTGACATTTATTGAAATTTCTACATAAGTCTTTTAATTATCAAATAATTTTGTTCCTCAGTGCTTTTTAATAATTCTCTGAAATGCTTTCATTTGTTAAAGGTTTATCCTTGCAATAGAGTGGCATGCTTTGGTAACTACAGGATAGGTTTTAAAAGTCAGTGATAAGTGCATAGAAATGCTTAGTAAACATTCATTTTGATGTATTGGTTATATCTGTTGAATATATCCGACAAATATTTCTGTGTAGAAGGAATTAAATTTTATTTATTTATTTAGATTTATTTATACAAGAACTGGGGTAGAGGCCAGATGCATGAGAGGGTGAGAGGATTCACCAGAGACAGAGCGGGGAACAGAACAGGCAGACTGACTGAAATACACTGCTGAGGGGAACAGTGGGCAAGACAGGAGAGGTCTGCCATGCCATGTGGTATTCTCGCCGTCGGGCTGGGATTGAACCCACGCTGCAGAGGCTGTGGACAGCTTCACAGTGCAGCACTCAACTGCCTGCACCACCAGGGAGGCCCAGGAATTAAATTTTAAAAGAGCTTATGCTCTTTTAAATATTGAGAAAAAATGTGCAGTTAGTAAAAAGAAAAAGAGATAGATACCTATATTCTCCCATTTACCACTGGATCTACTCAAATAGCTGTGTATAGTAGTAAGTTACCCCATTAGTGTAAAGAATTAGCCCACTATTTGATGTGTTTATGCTGTGGAGAAAATATTAAGTGAATAATTTCTGGACTTCTTTGAACTTGTGATTTTTGATAAGGACCACACCTCTGTGGAATCAGTAAAAAGGGGCATGTAACCAGAATACTTAATGAATTGACATTTCAGAAAAGAATAAGGATGTCAGGAAGGGCCTTGGTTTGGGTTGCCCTACAAGAAGACTGTGACATGAGGCTTAGAATCCAAGTTGTTTACTGGGGGGTGAACTCAAGAAAGTAAAGTGAGACAGGGAAAAGGAAGGAGCTGGCACTCAGTGTGTTGTCAAGGGGCTCACGTCTTGACCCACAATTATCCCTGCTACACCATGAAAAAACTAAGACATTTATTTCAATCCCTACTAATTATTGGCTGAGGGATGCTTGTAGGGGCATAACTCCAGCTCTTGACTTTCCCTGCACAGCCAATTGTGCTTTTCCCCAAGGCCAGGAAAAACCTTTCTCAGAAGGGGGTCATAGATTTTTGCATAAAAGTCTTTGGTGTGTGAAGGTGAGAGCCAAAGCAGATGGGCGTGGCCTTGAAAACATCTGCCCAAATAGGAGCTCTAAAAGGTTGATCAGAATTTTTTTAACATTTATTTATTAATGCATAAAAGAACCTGGGTGTAAGCCAGAGATGCTGGGGGTGGGAGGTGAGAGGATTCACCAGAGTGGGGAAAAGACAGGCAGATCTACTGAAATACACTGCTGAGGGAAGCAGCGGGTGAGATAGGAGAGGTCTGCTGTACTATGTGGGTCCCCTCTCTGGCAGCTGGGGGATCAAGTTCATGCTGCAGTGGCTGGGGATAACTTGATAGCACTGTCTTTAACCCCTGTGCCACCAGGGCTGCCCCAATCAGATTTTTTGATGAATTCTTAAGGGGTTATTTACCACATGGCATAAACATGCTGGTTGGGCCAAGCTTATACTTGCTGCGTGGTTGTAATGTTTATATGTTTTCTTTTTCACCACTCTCTGTCTTGGCTGTGAAACAGGATTCAGTGTCACACTCTGGCAGGTGTTGTTATATTACATACCAATTGTTGGTGTGTGGACGAGCAGGAGCTTGTGAGTAAGTGGCTGAATGTAGATAGGGAGGCGTGTATGACTAACTGCCTTAAACTTCTGATGTTTTAAAGCTTTATAACATTTTTAATGAAGTTGCTGTAGGTACCTGTTGCAAGGATCCCTGCAGCAGAATCTGCTGTTTACTGCACTGCAATACAATCTGTGTGTTTTTTTCAATGGAGGAGGCATAGGAGGCATCACACAGTGAATCGTGCCTTCCTCTGACTTCCAAAATACGAAGACGTTCCTCCTTCCCTAACTCAAGGATCTTTTTATTTTATTTCTTTAAGATTTATTTATTTATTTATACAAGCACTAGGTACAGTCAGAAGCGCGGGAGGGTGAGAGAATTCACCAGAGCCAGAGTGGAGAGCAGAACAGGCAGACAGACAAAGCACACTGCTGAGGGGAGCAGCAGGTGGCAGGAGAGGTCTGCGCGCCATGTGGGACCCTCACCTGGTGGCCGGGGATTGAACTGGCGCTGCAGAGGCTGCGGGCAGCTTTGCAACCCAGCGCTCAACCGCTGCACCACCAGGGAGTCCCATCTTTTTGTTTTTTTAAATCTTTCTCTTCTATGCTGTTTTCCAATTTCTGTCTACAGTCTCCTGGATGGAAAAGCACAGCTTTAGTCTTAAGAGAATTAATATCTAGTTTATTTTTTCCTCTTCAAGAATCAGTGATCTTTTGTAGAGCAGGGAGAACAGTGAAGGGAAGATGAAAATGGAAACCAGAGAAACCTACTCTCATATGTATTCCAAGTGGTATTGAGTCTGACACACCTTTATGTCCCTTCTCAATGTTATTAACAACCAATTTGGAGTTCATTGCCTTTGAGGTTTATTTTAAATTTGAAAAATACAGATACTATTTGCACATGGTAGTTTTCATGCAAAACCCTCCACTCAGCCAGATATCTACAGGTCCCGGCATATTATTATATACTCCAGCATTAGGAGCAAAAATTATCCATGTGTATCAAGTACGAAGGATACTGTGCCAGTGGATTTTGCTATCTGTGTGATGCAGGTTGTGTAGCCAGGGGAAAAGTGAGCTGTTAATTTTGTTTTGTACTTATCTGTAAGTTTGCATTTGCAGCCAACTTTGAAA